TTTCGACTTGTCTAAACACGATCTCGTATGACATTTTTTCAAGTTCATACGATTATCGTACAAATCGGTTCGAACCGTTTTGAGTGCGAGAATTGCCATTCGAGTTCAGTGATTACTGCGGTATGACTATGGATATATCAAAATGATGCAAAAACCATTAAAATTTGAAACTGCTGATAATATTAAGTTCATTGCACTGTATAGAAATATAATTTTGATTTATCATTTTTTTTTTAATTTTATAACTACTGACACAAACAAAAACTGACAATTATGTCATGTAAATTTATAGGGCGAGTGAGTGAGTGGGTGACTGAGTGAGTGAGTGAGTGAGTGCGTGCGTGCGTGCGCGCGGGCGTGCGTGCGGGCGTGCGTGCGTGAGTGAGTGAATGGTGAGTGAGTGAGTGAGTGGTGAGTGAGTGAGTGGTAAGTGAGTGAGTGGTGAGTGAGTGATTGAGTGAGTCATTGAGCGGTGAGTGAGTGAGTGGTGAGTGAGTGAGTGAGTGAGTGAGTGAGTGAGTGAGTGAGTGAGTGAGTGAGTGGGTGGTGAGTGAGTGACTGAGTGAATGAGAGAGTGAGTGTATGAGTGGTTAGTGAGTGAGTGAGTTGTGAGTGAGTGGGTGAGGGAGTGAATGAGTGAGTGAGTGAGCGGTGGGTGAGTGAGTATTGAGTGAGTAAGTGAGTAAGTGGTGAGTGAGTGAGTGAGTGAGTGAGTGAGTAGGGAGTTAGTGAGGAGTGTTTATTGAAAAGTACATTTACTTGAAAAGTCGTGTCGGCCATCTTGGATTTAGAAATAAATGCTATGTTCGTAATGAGCACCCCCAAATACCTCAAAAACGATACCCAACTTGCCATTATTTGAAAAGTGCGGGCACGACTTTTCATCCTGGATTTAGAAAGGAGTGCCATATTCGTTACGAGAGCACCCTAAATACTATATTGCCCACGCTATATTCGACAACAGAGGCACTCACTCACTCACCGTTATTTGAAATTTTTTTTTTCATTTGAAAACCAGTGATAATCAAAACACCCTCGCGCACTGCACTCGTGGTAGAAACGGCTGGCACAGAAACTCGAAATACGATTTTTGCTTTCGAGTTCTGTTTACACGGAGACATTCAATATTGAAAGGCGAGGAGATTATCGCTCACGTGGACGGTCGATAATCGCGAATGTTTAGACGAGGAAAGTTTTTTTATATTCTTTCGATAATCGCATCTTCGAGACGAGAAACTCTCTCCATCTAAATGGGCCTTTAATGTACCTGGATAAACAATAACATTTTCTTATTTATTAATACAAAGATCGAACACTTAGAAAAAATTCCTTCGATCCAGCCGGATCCGAATCGATGCTTTCTAGCAAATCGTGCCAGACGCTATGCCAACTAAGCCACGGAACGAACCAGTGGACCTCACAAATTTCTCTATTTGCTTGTTGTCGTATCTTTGTATTTGTTTTTTCAACGTCTTTTTAGCCGTAGCGCCGTCTATGAGAAATCTATGAAAGTATTTCGTCACCCAGTTACCTTTACACCCACCAGCCCCGGCTAGATACGTTGCTATTCATTATATTTAAATTTTTGTTGAATTGATATTCAATTATTTTTTATGTGAAATTACTACACTTGTTTATTATAATTATTAATACAAAGATGGAACACTCAGAAAAAAATCCTTCGATCGGGCCGGATTCGAACCGACGTCTTCTAGCAAACCGTGACAGACGCTATGCCAATTAAGCCACGGAACGAACCAGCGGACCTCACGAATTTCTCTATGTGCTTGTTGTCATATCTTTGTATTTGGTTTTTCAACGTCTTTTTAGCCGTAGCGCCATCTATGAGAAATCTGTGAAAGTATTTCGTCACCCAGTTAGATACCTTTACAGCTACCAGCCCCGGAGAGATGTCGCTATTCACTGTATTGAAATTTTTATTAAATTGATGTACAATTATTTTTTATGTGAAATTATTCCACTCGTCTTCCGGCGGTCTTTGTATTAATAATTATAACAAACTAGTGGAGTAATTACATATAATAAATAATTGAATATCAATTCAATAAAAATTTAAATAATATTTTCTTTTTAGCAATTGTCAAACATTACTTTTAGTATTAATTAATATTTTCCTCTTTTTAGTCTTTTATTATTGCCTCACATTGTTTGAGAAAAATACCATACATACCTCGGCGGTAGTGGTGAAAGAGACTCAGTCTTTTAAGGCCTTTTAAAAAACCTCGACTAATTTTCAACGCCTCACGACTAGTCTAGTCTTTTAACCTTTAAGTCTTGAGTCATAAGACTAAAACTGAAGACTAATTCGAGTCGAAGTCTTTTAACCCTAGGAAGCTTAAAACGACTAAAATGACTGGCGCCTCGTAGCCTCGGGAGTCGCGAGTCATGAGCCGTAAGGCGTGATTTTATTTCTACCCACAATGTATTTATTTTACGATTTTTATTATAAGTAAATAAACGTGATTATTTACTACATACTACTTACGTCATTTTTATTTATAAACTTCGGGTTTAATAAGGACATAAAATAGGTATAAGTCCTTTGCAAACAACTCGAGTCTTAAAGTGTTTTAGTATAACGACTGAGTCTTATTAATAAAAACTCGAACCCCAGACTTAATTTGAGGGTCGTATTCCAGAACTCTACTCAATACTCAAGTGAGGACTTGAGTATTGCAGTGAGCACTGAAAATCATACTCAAGTCCTTGCCATTAGGGTCTTATTTCCAGTGCTTGAAATCATACTCAAGTCTGCTCAAGTCCTGACTTGAGCATTGAGTAGAGTTCTGGAATACGACCCTTAGAGTCGAGTCGCTATAAAACGCCTTAAAAGACGGAGTGTCTTTCATCACTACTCGGCGGGAACGGCGATTGCTCGACTCTTAACTCGTCCTTGTAACTCATACTCGTCCAGCAGTCAAAGCATACAGTGTAGTGATTATTTGGACCGCTCGTTGATCGAATGGTGTGACGGCAGGCGGTGCGTGGGGCGTTCCCGCTGGCGCACGTGACGTGCTCGGTGTGGCAGGCGTCGCGTGCGGCGGCGCGGCTGAGCGCGGAGGCGGCGCGGCGCGACGACGCGGCGCTGGCGCCCGACGACGTCGCCGCACGCTGCAAGACCTATGCGCTGGCGCTGCTGCGCGGCGAACACACGCCGGCGCAACTGCAGGTACGGCACCGTAACCCCAACAAGCCGTGACCAGGTTCACGGCAATAAAACAGAAAACTTCAGGTCCACACATTTATTTGAAGTCAGTTAAGGAGAAGAAAAAGTAACGAAAG